TTTATTTTTGGTGGGTTTTGTTTTCTTGGGGGTTATTTTAAGTCTCCTTCCTGGCAAATCACTTGCTCATCTTACCTATATACATGAAGTCAGTTGTAAGAGTATAACCTTAGTTTTCTAGCTAATCTGAAAATTGTGTAACACAGGTAGAGTATAATTATTTCCTCAGTAAACTGTTTAGCAGTGTGCACAACCTTGCTATTGGAATAATAGCATCTGTATTGGAGGTGTGACTGTCAGGGGAGGAGGCTTCATCACTTCTACTTGGATTCTATTTTTATGTAGACAAGGCTTTAAGCAAAGTCTTACCAAGTACTTTTCTTAAAAAAAAACAAAACAAACAAACCACAAATGGCATCAAACTAAAAAACAACCCACCAAAAACAACCCCACCAAAAGGCCCCTAAAGCATCCCCTCTCAAGAAAAAAACCACAGCAAGACAAACCCAACTTTCAAGACTTGCGTATGAAAAATAGAAGCTGCAGGCTCGTTTTGCCATATAAGCACCTAACTAGCATCAGCAGGTAAATGTGGCTATTCAGCTGTACTGCCTGCAGACACTGCAGCTTTGCTGTACTCCAGTCTCTCTGATCTCTTAACAGGGACTCGGTGGGAGAAAGAGGGAGATGTCAAATCAGCTCCAACTCAGCATCAGGAAATCTTGTAGTGCGTTATTGCCACTGTGGCATTTCAAACTGGAAATCACGAATAGTCCTCAAAGAGTTATCATGGCATCCCCCCTTACTCACTGGGAATTGTGCATTCTCTCATGAAAGACAGTGAGACTCATAAAATAGAAATTAGGTCACTGATTGCTGTTGTTTTAATATCAGCTGAGCTTACTTCTCAGTTATCTGTTAATTACAATTCCATGAATTAAGTCCCCTTTAATGGAATTATTATTGATTCCTTAAACCTACAGTACTCTATAATGCCAGGATCTAATCCAACATATGTTGGCTAGATACAGATTGCTCTGTATTGCCTCCTGTCTATACTGGGAGAAAGCAGGGTAGTTTCCAGTACATCTTCTATATCATGTTGGATTGTGGACACCTAAACTTGCCCAGAGGTTCAGGGTGGCCTCGAACATATTGAGAGTGCGCTATGGGCTAAGTACTAAGCCCAGTTCTCCTGCAGTTATCTCAAAAAGCCCACCTGATATCCTCTCTCTTTGTCCCTTTATCATGGTTCATTCCTTTTTTTTTTTTTTCCCAATTTTAAAAACATACACTTTTACTCTGTGAATCTTCAGAGCTGTGAGTATTGTCTGGTCTGGGCCATGACTGCTATCTCTGGGACAGCTCTTCTAGTCTTAAAGCTTCCAGCTGTACTCATGTTCTTTGGGTAAAATTGCATGCCTGGAGATGGCTTAGCACAGAGTCTAACTTCCATGTAAGTCAGAGAATTTTTCAGCATCAAACAGCACTGGTTACAGGGGCAGTGATGCAAGAAGCACAGCAGGCACCTGACTGAACCTGGGCCTGGGAAGGTAACTGCTGATTTTCAGGTGTTTCTGTACTATGTACCTGATCCCTTAGGAATCATGGGCTGTGGGGAAAGAGGGGGGATACAGTTGGCAGGACTCATACATTTTGCCGCGTGGACATGGATGTCTTTAGGGGTAACAGGATGGTGGATGTATTGCAGAACAAGCTGTGCTCACAGTCACTCTAAAAGTACTTTTGCATTACTAGGTATGGTGACACAGCCACTGAGCTCAAACGGGTTCTTTCCATAGACTTTGAGAGTAAAGCCATAATTCTCTTATTCTCTTGGTGGAGAGGAGGAGTCCGTAATAATAATTCTTAGCTTGATTTTCACAAATTTTTGTTTCCTGTCTAAATTTCTTTACAAGTTAGCTAAAAGAGGGCTGTGATTAAAAAAATTGCTTCTAAGTATTCCTTAAGAGCTTCTTAATTATTATATTTAAAAACATCAAAAGAACTAGTGAACAGACCAGTGTTTTTCTGGTGAGAGATGCAGAAACTTAGCATAAGAGATGCAGAACCTAAAGAATAACATGAATTTATGTTACGCTGTAAAGATAATAATGTTGAGGGGTTTGCAATTGCTCAGTTTCCTGGGGATGTCTAGAAATAATGTGATAATTTTACAGTGCCTTCTATTTTTTTTACTTTTGTTGTCACATAAATAAGGAGTCAAAGTTTCAACACTTTGTGATTAGTGTTCTCTAAGTTATAATAATGTAATATACTACTTTGACCTTTTCAATATTGTGTGATTTGGTTAGTTGATCTCTCTATTTATAGCTGTGCTGAGTGGTATAGAATGAGTGAGTGGATACCAGCTAATGAAAATATAAAATACTGGAGAAGTCAAGTGAATATACAAAATGTATAGCATTAAGTATTAAAATTCTGATAAATCATTCTTGTGACAAAAGGTGTAATAAGATTAGAAATTGCAACAAAAAAATTAATCTTTTCTAATGACATAGATTGTGCCTAGGCGGGTAAATGGTATGAATTTAACTTGATCTCATTATACTCCTAAATTTGTAATCTCATTTTCCTCCTCAGATACTTCACTTAAAGAAGGCAACAGCGTGTGTGAGTGATTGGGTGTGATACATTCTATATTTGGGAAAAGTTACTTAATCCTTCAACCTCAGTGCACCGGGAAGCGAGTAACACTTGATGCAGAGGGAAACATCCCTCCTAAGATTCAAAGTCTTTTATTTCTTATTCAAAATTCTGCAGAATGCAACCAGCATTGACTGACTCCATAAATCTTCCCCATTCCAGTGGTCTCAGCCCTTAGGAAACCTGTTCCAGGCTGCAAGAAAAGACACGCGCAGAATAATTAGAGCAGAGAACTCCACAGCCAGGACATAGATTACAAAGATGAGGTTTCAGCTGTCAGTGCTGAGCAAGAGCTATGGTTCAAACCATAGCATGCCTGCAGTGGACCTGGGAGCCTCTCTTAGCCAGCCGTGGCCCTCTGGATCATGATTTTTTACTCACTTGCTCCATGAAGTGGATGACTGGGGGGAGGGGGGGGGGTGGGAAGGAAAGGAAGAATGTTATTTCTTTGGAGCAAGCTATATATTTTCTCTTTCCCTATTTATCATATTCTGTTAGATATGCTGTCTAAATACTAAATGATTGCACTCAAGGCTTTGGCAGTTTTTAGCTGTGCTCATTTGTCCTGAGAGGATAAAGAACATAAGAAGAACCTGTTTATTCCTGTGCATCCATAACCAGAAATGTGAGCACATGTAGAAGAATCTTTCCCGACACGTGCATGCATAACTGAAGTCACAGCCTAAGGTCTCCTGCCTCCTCACTGAGAAAGAAAGAAATAATGTAGAATCCAGGTTTTAAGTTGCTGTCAGGGCTGGATATGCAGTGATTTCTTTTGCAACCTTGGACTAGGAATATGCATGAGCAAGTAATGAGACATTTAGGAGCCCAAATTAGTCTTTTCTCTTAGCAACTTCCTTCTTCCCACACCTCAAAACACTTTAACCAGTCCTTCCCTCTTTATAATCCACCTCCAGCATCTGAGCAACATAAAAGCTTACAAAATGCAAGTGACTTCCACAGGAATCCATCTAAGATAAGCGTCTAGGCAGAGAGGGAAGATGTAGGAGAGCTGGATGGTAGAAGCAAGTTTCTGTCCCCGAGATCAAACACTAGGGCCTGGAAGCAGCTACCACCAAGAAGCTGTGTGCATTTCACGTAGACTCCAGCCTCCTGGCTGTGCCACCTTATCAGGGTCACTAACAGCTGTGGTATAATTGCAATGCACAATTAAATCCTGGCGGTTTTTCTATTTCTGTCTCTCAGTTCACAACTTGTACGCTGCTCACTAGAGGATCTCTTTGCTGTGGAGGCCCACGCAAAACATACTTCAAATGTGCCGATGCCTTTGTTCTCGATCCTACCAACAGAGCACTCTCTCCTGGGCTCTATCCCCTTCCTCATTTCAATTTATCCACCAGTCATTTGCTTCCAGCTATGCTTTTTCCCGTTTTCCATTTCTTTCCCAATCTGTCTCTTGATGTCCACTGAACAACTTGTCACACCTTTCCACTCTCCTAGTTCCTCTCTCTTCCCAGTTGACAGTTGAAAGGTTCTACTTCCCAAATTTTTTCCTGTGTCCTCAATGTCAGCCCCTGCCCATCTGTTTTGTCACAGCTGATATTGAGTTCTCCCTGTTGTCCTCCTCTCCACTGCCCCAGTCCAGCAGAAATCTGAACAGAAGAGCTCAAGATAAAATCTCCCCTGCCAATTTCATGCCCACAGGCTAAGATGCAATCCCACCTCTGGGACTTGAGGTGATAAACTGTAAGTAGCTTTTCCTAAGAATAAGCATGTTGATAGAGAGGGTAAGGAAAAATATACAAAATCTTTTAAGGTGATTGATGTGGTACAGAGTTTTGCAACAATAGCAATGAGTGCATTTTTAACACAAAAACTACCGCCTGCCATATTTCAGATCCCCTCATCAAAGCATGACATGGATAACTGAAATTTTTTCAATTCATCATTTACAATTTCTTCTGATCTGGGCAAAACTCTGTAGGTGCATGGTGTGTTGTATTTTTATTGTATTTTTATTATATGTTCTTCAGAGCTAATTAACTTGAGGCAGACAGTGGTACAGAACACAGGTTTGGCAAAGCCATTGGCAGCTGAAAACATGTCCAAAATGGAAAGTGTTGGGCAACCTTAGTATTATGCAGAATTAACAGTTATACCTGTAGTCAACAATTTATTAATAGAGTGGCTGGAAAAAGCATTCAAGAATATGTATGACTGTGGGTTATGCAGAGTCAGAGAATTTTTTGCTCAGCGAAAATTGCTACCTTGTACAGTTCTCCGTGTCTGCAAAGTTATCAAATGTGGAAGGATTATGCTCTGTTGTTACAGGTGACATGAAGGTTGCAGATTTCCCCAGTTTCTGGAAACTTCATGATTTTTAACTGTTAATGAGGAGGAAATCAGTAATACAAAATATTTTTTTGTTACAGATACATCTGGATTTAAAAAAAAAATGTTGCCACAGTGTCTCATCATCTCCTGGTTAAATGATAAGTCTATGAAGAAAAAAGTCTTCTGTGAAGGTGAGGAAAATCTGCATCATGAGACTCTGTATTTTCTGTATCAGGGGAAAAAAAAGGTAGTCTGGCTTTTTCAACTAGCCACTGGGGAGATACAAGAAAGTGACTCCTGTGAGGAAATTGTGGAAATAAATTTTTATAAGTTTTTTCCCTTCCTGTTCTTCCACTTTTGCCAAGCTGTTGCATGTGTGCTGCCCTTCATGACTCTGGGGATGGGTACATGTGTTATGCATACGTCTATTCATGAATTTGTGTATTTCACACTGAATTCTGCAACACAGAGAAGAGACCTTCTAACAAGAGGTTGATTTTTTTTGATAGAGAAGTTCATAGAAGCCGAATGTTCCAGTATCAACATGTTCCAGTATTTACATTGTGGCTACAGAGAAAGGGGAGGCTACCTTTTTACAGGGAGTCATATGGAAAAGATAAGGGGTAATGGGTACAAGTTACTCCTGAGGAGATTCTGATTGGAAGTGTGAGGAAAACTTTTCACAATGAGAACTATCAGCTGTTGGAATAATCTCCCCAGGAAAGTGGTGGGTTCCTCAATATTGAACATGCAAGTGGCTGGACAGGGTGCTGGGCCATCTTGTCATTCCTTGAGGTTTCTTCCAACCTGGTATTCTATGGGTTTATAAAACATATTTTCATTTTGCCTCTTGTCTGTGAGACAGAAATCCTGACTTGTTCCCTGTAGCTGTCTGTCCGGTCCCTTATGGCCTGGGTGGGTCTAGGCCTTGGGAGAGTCCCGCGCTGAACCGAAGGCACGTGGCACTGGGAGCTCACAGCTTTCAACTGACCCCTCTTTTAGGTTTTCTTCAGTTTCCCAAAGCCATTTTCTCCCTGCGCTGCCCAGTTCCTATTCCTGACTGAGCCAGGAGGTTTAAAGGACCAGCAGAGTGAGATCCTGAGGCAGGGGCAGTCCTGAAAAGCCAGGGCATTGCGACAAACCTTCTGTTGCCTAAACACTATCCCTTGGAGGAAGCAATACTGGAAGTATTTGCATTTTTTAGGTTTTGCTTTACAAAATCTCAAAAGAGAACAAAGCTTTAAAAGCAAAGATAGTCCTTCTGGGAACGGATCTATTTTTATGTTTTGCTTTTTACTTTACCTCTTGCAAGGTGAATCCTTTTTGCCTGTCTTGTAATAAAGCTGGTTGAACAGAGTGTGCCTTGGAAAACCACTGTCAGAGGGCATTCAAGCCCTTAGTAAAAGGTGCCCCATTTCCACCTGCAAGAGCTTATCTTTGCGAGAGTCTCTGCTCTGGTTGCTGTTGAGGTGCTGGAGTTGAAAAACCAAGCACTACTTGTCTATTTCTTTCCCTTCTGTATCTTTGAATCCCGGTAATTGTCCCTCTGCCAAACCTGCCCTTTTCCATCACAGGTGCCAGAAGGTCATCTTTTGGTAAGGGTTTGTGAAACAACCACATGTATAGCTTGTGTGCAGTCTTCCCCTTGTCTTAAATACATGGGCAAATCCCATATTTACTACTCTTGATTGTCGTGTCTTGCTACAAGACAAGGTGGAACCTAAAAAGATATCCAGAAATTCTACAATTACCATGTAAGTGTACATCACATACTGTGTTACAGAAAGATAAAACTGAAATGTATTGATATGTCTGAAAAAAAAATCAAGTTTCTCTATTAAGGAAAAACTGGTGGTGATGGGAGGAAGAGGCTGAGTTTTAGTTTGAATTGGATGGAAACTAGACGAATACTGTGCTGAAAGTCTATCTGTAGCTGGAAGTGTGCCCTCAGTATTCCCCAGTGTGCATTCACAGTTATCTCTGCATTCAAAGAAGAGAAACTTGCCTTTTGTGGCAAAGCTATCATTTAACAGAAACACAAAAGTAGAACATTATAAGTTTTATGTTAATATTGTGCTTGTTATCTTTCCTTTTTCTACATTTATGGGATTAGTGATGGTTTGTATGATTTCTCTTCCTTGCTGCCCCATATACCCCACCCTGTATGTGAACCATTACGACAATATTCATAACCAACTGGATAAGTGTACTCAGAGCCTTTGTTTCAATGTACGTTCAAAGGCTGATTAAGTAGTTTTCTGACAGCATTTTGTCAGGTTAAATATGTATATTTCTAAATTTACTATACCAAAATAGAATGCAATTAACAGCGCAAAATGACTTTTTGAACCGTTATCATTATATAAAACCACTGAAGTACAATTTTGAACTGTCTGCAAAATCCTTAGAAGATGAAAAGGCCTGTTGCTTTGCAAGACTTCTAAAATATTAGACCAAATCCAATACCTGCACTGACACATGACAATGATCTGGTGAACTAAAAACAATAAGCTTGCTTTTCTCTGTTCTGAAAGCTTGTGCAAATTCCTGTCTTTTGTCAGATTGTTTTCCTGTTCTTAATGATGTTTGAATGTAGCATATACTTAGTGCATTTAAAAAACACTCTTGAACTGAAGTCCTTCCTAATTTGTCACATGCTGGAACGATGAAAATGTATGCAGCGACTGAACTCGTTATGTGGCAGTCACCTTGAGCTGTTAGGGGAGGTCTGAAAGCATCACCGGACACTCCTCATCCTAAGACCTGTCGAAACACTGTCCCTCAAACCTTTACTGCATCATGAAGTTTTTATGCAACGTAAATCAGAAATGTTCGCCTCACTTAGCCTGGACACTTCAGCCTCTATTTCAGACACAGAGATGACCTGCTCAGTTATCCAAGTTCATATTCAATTAGCGGTTAAGGATTCCTAATTTAAATACCTCTAGGGAAAACATAAGCTCTTTAGAAGAGATACTTGGACAAGTTAAGCATGATTCATATTAGCAGCAATTTGTAAAGCTTGGTCTCACTGAAGATTGGTCTCACTGCAAAACTTGAATAGGCAAGAGACTGTGGTGATTATGTGTATTATCTACACCCTGGGGGAGCTGCTCCGTGTTGTTGTTATTTGAGGTAAGTTCATGTTGTAGTACTGAATTTGAATGGAAAAAATTCCAAATATATGGTAGTGTTTACACTGAGTTCCAGAGTTTTGACAGTTGCCAAATCATGCTTTAAATGGTTTGTAGAAAATACCATTGGTCCTTCTTTTCTAGGGAGAGGGTTTATGGACAATTTAAATAAAAACTGTAAAACATGGAACATACCCTAAATTAAACTTGTTACCTTGTAAAATATTCTACATTGAGGCATGGCAGTGAATTTTTAAAATGTCTTTTTTTGCACATGTTCTTGAAAGAGCATGTCTTTCAAAACCTGGAAATTGATGTTGATGTAAAACCTCAGGATCCAAGCCAAAGCCCAAGTGTCTGAGTAGGTACCAGGAAGGCAGTCCTGCTGCCATAATGCTTCACCTACCTCAGTGGTTCATCTTCCTCCTGGAATCGTATATGGAAGTTGCTGCTGAGCAGACAGGTAAACACTAGGAAACTGCTGATCCATAACAGACTGAATGGGGGACTAGTCTGTGGCACGTTTTCAGTTTGTGAATTTTTGTGTCTTTTCCAGGTATGGATCCTATCTCCCCACTTGTTGGTGCAGGGCTCTACACTACCCAAGAAGTAGAAAAAAAATGAGCAGGACTGACTCAGGCTCAGTAGGCCTGCTACGGTTAGAAAATGCTTCTTTTCGCAATTGGTCTCTTTATTTAAGAAAAAAATGAAATAGATTTAAGCAAAATTCAAGCCTTGAAAGTTTTCCATAATACTTTGAAGTGTGATAGTTCTGATGTGTGGCTTGTTATTTTCCCCTGAGTCACAGGACTCTGACTGGAGTTCTTGCAGCCCAGGGAGCTACCACAGGCTCCATGTGCGATGGGATATAATGGCCAACTGGGAAGCTCAGTGGATGGGCATAGATGGAAAAGAAATAGGAACTATCTGAAATACAACTTTTATAAGGTGTTGCAATAGCTTATGTTTCAAAAATCCTTTTTGCGTTTTTTTGCCTAATCTTTTTTCATCTTCCCACCTTTATATTTTTTCAGTTTAGAACAAAATCCACTCTCTTCCACAGAAAGCAAAAACTTGTAAGAGAAAGAGTTAGTTCAATAGTTTCTTGTGAAGTTTCAAAAGAAACTTTTCAATCATCCACAGTGTAAAAATTTCCAAATTTTTCTTTTCCTCCATCTTACAAAAATTTGCTCTACTATTTGTTAATAAGTAAACAGGATCAATGTGAGCAACAATATAGTAACAAAATAAAATTAGTTTAAGAAAACTACTTTCTTATTTTTCCCTTATTTCCCTTGTTATGTGTATATTACCCTGTACTATCTTTTATCAATTTGGGCCTGTGCTGTGAAATTAAATCAATAACCACTGCGCCTAAATTGAACTCTAAGGAGTAAGAGAACCAACACCTCACACTATTATTAATTTTCCTTGTCTTTGGGTAGTAATCTATGCTTGTTCCAAATGAGCACTGCTGGATATCATACACTATCACATAAATTATGTGATACTGTACACCTACTTTGCACTTAGAAGGTACTGTTGGAAAAGTTGAAACAATTTCAAATCATTGAAAATTTGCATCTTTTTTCATCGAAAATGGCAAACTCTGACTGTAATGTGATTTGCTGTGAGGTTAAGGGGGTGGTTGTGGTGAGTATTTAAGAAAAAAACACATCAGACTTTCCTTATTTGTGTCCTTACCTTATTTTCCAGGACATGGACAACTGTACAATTTTGAAAAGAAAAAGAAATATTGAGGCTGAGGGCATTTGTGCAGTTGGTGGCATCACAAATGAGGTCTGAGGTGAGCAAGCTCTGGAGTGAATGTGCTGGGTTTGTCCATAGATTGATTAAGTGCAGCTGGAGTTTGCAGAGGGGTTTCCTATGCCCAGGGTTTGAAGCCACCATTTCAGTCCCCAGTCTCAGAAGGCATGAATGCCCAGGAGCCTGGATGTGTCCTGGGTGTGGTATATCCTGCACATGCCAACTTCTCTGCAGTCACATTGTCCTTGTTTGCTACCAAGAGCATTTTTCATCACAAAAACTTGAGACTTGTTTTGACAAAAATTCAGTTGGACAGGAACACATGTAAAACAAAGCAAAACTTTGGAAAACCTCTTAAATTACTGTGTCTGCTGTATATCATGTTCCAAAACATTAAAGACTCCACAGGAACAGGAGTTCACAGCGCACATAGTGGTGTTCTGGGGTTTGGGTTTTTTTCACGGTCTTTTGTTATTTATTTCTTTTGGAAGTTACACTGAAACTGAGTAAAATGAATGATTAAGCAACCTTGAGTAACTGCTATTTATGCATTGAATTTATAGACTGTTGTGATTATTTTGTTTACGTTATTTATTAACACAGTTAATAAGATAATAATAATAATAAAAATAATTATCACTATGAGTTTACACTGTGCAGAAGCTAACTTTATCTTTTTTTTTCTTTCTCCCACTTTTACTTGCGCTCCTGACCTGGACTTTATGCCCATGATGTTTTTACTTGCAAAGACTGAAGAAGGGAGTGAGTTAAATAATTGCATGTCAGTGGATAATGTTCCAGTCTTGCTTTCAGTGAAGTGAGCTCCTGCTGTGTCTATCCAAAATGATACCTTTCGGGATTTTTATTTATTGATAGGAAAGAGCAATAGGAAAAAAAACCCAAAACTGCATCAATCGGTCTCCCTGAATCTAGTTGGTCCTAGAACTGTGTTTATGCCCCAGAGGTCAGGTACCCTACACTCTCTTAACCAGGGCACTAGAAATGTACTTTGCCCAGCTTTGTGTTACCCTTTCAGCATACATGGAAGCCCAAACATAGGCTAAAACATGCAAAACATTTAATTCAGGTAACTGGATCGAGAAGTATCTGCATTTGCAGTTGCATTGATGCACCCATGGCACCCTCAAGTATGGTAAAAAACAGCAGGGAAGAATAGGGGACAAATAAGTCGGTGGCAGCAGAGACAGGACACATCTACAGCCTTCCTCCATAAATTGTTTCCACTTCAATTTGAGTTTTTATTTTGACTTATGAGACTCACATTGTAGTAAAGGTTAAGCTTTTCGAAAGTCTCCAAGGACAGAGATCCTCCAGCCTCTCAGGGTATTTGCTTCAGTGGTGGACCAGCTTCACAGTGAAGAATGTTTTTCTTTGCATCCACTTATAGCAGGCCCTGCTCCAGTGCAGTCATTAACCTCTCATTCTTTCAGTGCTCTCAAATCTGGAATAATTATTTTTACATAATGTCTAATTTTAAGTAATTGGTGAGCATTTAAAATGCTCTTTTTTTTATTGGATTTGATCACTTCCTTGAGTCCTTTTGTTCCTGAGGCAGAAGAACGGCCTCACTCAGTCAAATCTATCCTCATGGCTCCCTGTCTAAGTAAACCTGGAATGTAACCAGGAGAAGGAATGTAAAGGCCATTTTCTGTAGTTAACTCATCCTCCTGCTGAGTCTAAGCTTAAAGAGACTGAGCTTAATGGGCAGAAGTCAAGGTTCCAATAGCTTCCTTTTTCTCCCCTTCTTTTTCACCTTTCTACAGGCTTTCAAAGATTGTTTCTGCCAGACCCACTCCCTGCAGCCCTGCCTGGGAGTAGTGACACCTGGCTGTGAAGATCTAGGAGCTTTGCTAATTCATCTGCTGCTTCTTGAGGAGTCTGACCTCAGGCCTTGGAGGATGCTCGCCTGGTGAGTCAGTGAACTGGTTTTAGCCATTCTGCACTCCTCCTGCCCTGGATGCCTGCTGGCTCCAGACATATCAAGCACTGCTCCCAGATTCCTTTTCTCCTTGGCATAACTACAGGATTGGATTTCACCTTCTTTAGATAATAAAGGTACTTAGAGATCTTTTGAAAGTTTGTATCTTTATGCATTATTTTTCATAACCGTCAGGCCTCAGTTCAAATCACCTTCTCAATCTTACAGTCCGAGTAAAGATGAGTATTTTATTTTCTAAGTTTTTGCTGTTCTGTGAAATATTGGTGGACACCATGAGGTGTGAACATGGCTGAACTTCATGGGTGTGCTTTCTATAATTTCTTTAGGCTAAGTGAAAATAAGATGTAAGGCAGTGCAAGCAGTGGGAGCTGAAAGAGAAGCTGCTGCACAAGACAGTAATTAGTAGTTAGCCTGGCAACATTTAGCAAAAATTGAATCTTATGGCCCAGTGGTCTTTTTAGTGACTTGGTATAAACACAAAAGTTAGGTCACAGGCTTGATGCTGCTGTGTGGGCTTTGGGGCAGAAAGCAGTCAGGAATTAGAGAGATGTAGCAGACTGGGACAAAGCTTAGCTGTAAGAGGCAGCAGAAGGAGCATACCACCAGGTGCTAGACTCAGTAAAGGTAAATCTGAAAACTGTAGTTAGACAACTTGCTTCTGTAATTATCTCTCAGACAACACCATTTTGTGTACACTGTCTACAAATATACACAGTTGTACTAAAGGAATGCTGAACTTTCCAAATTTCTTCATAGAGCATTCTGGCAATTCATGTAATAGTTGCTAAATTTTCCAGACTGAGTCCAACACATCTGTCTTTCTGCAGTAATCGTGTGGTGCAACTTGCCTGTGAGCTGAGCCAAACTTGATCCTAAGTTTTGTTGTGTTCTTGTAAGAGCCTGGAGAACAGGCTTTGTGTGGAAAGGCTGTTGATAGTGGGGCCACATGGGTCTCCAGCTGGTCTCCAGGATGGATAAGCACACTCTTGTGGTTTAGGAATGGTATTCCCAAATTTAGTGTTCCCACTGAAACACCCCAGACCATGCGCTGCTCGTTCACATTCTCCCTTCCCCCCACCTTCACCTGTGGTGGGATGGAGAGGAGAATTAGAAGCACAAAAAGGTGACAATATGGGTTGAGATAAGAATAATTTACTGGACAGCAGTGAGATAAGAAAATGAAGAGTAATAACAACAATACTAATATCAGAGTGTATGACAGGTGAATGATTGACACATGATTGCTTCCCCAGGCAGAACATGGTACTACCAGATCTCACACCCTGGAAAACAGGACAAATGCCAGCACTCTCCATCCCCCCTGCACATGGCATGAGGTGGGAATAACCCCAGGATCCTGTCCCCACCCTTCCTGGCTGCTGCAAAAGTTAACCCTGTCCTGGCTGGAACCAGGACACATACCTAGAGAGAAAAACTATGCCTTGATTCTTCTTGGCCATGCAGCCAAGCTGATCACAGGGAGGAAATTTCCAGGGCTTGATTTCTGTGCTCATAACAGAGTTGTGAGGTGAATCTGGGCTTGAAGTCTAGCCATAGTGTATGTTCCAAATGTACTTAGGTTTTATGCTTTATAAATTAAGAACTTCCCAGCTTTAGGCATTAAAATTGGCATTTTCCTATTGATATTTCCTATACAAATGTATTTATTTCCACTTTTGTCTACTTTTTAAACCTGTCTCTCCATTTGGCTATTGTCTTTGATCTGGAGTGTGTACAGTGCCTCTTCTGTGTTTTTCCTGTTCTCTTTCTTTCAAGAGACTTTCTGGCTTTTATTGTGTTCACATCAAAGTCTTAGGAGTGTTTCCCCAGTGAGAATTACAGGTCATCAGGACAGCAGTAACCGATCTAAGTATATTATTATTTATGATGTGTACCTTGTATAGGAGTATAGCAGGTATGCTGAGT